AGCAAGGGCACTGGACCACCCCGACGCAGGAGCACCTTTCTCCTTGGGTGCCAGCTCGGCCAGACCTGACCACTCTGCCCAGGTGGCCTCTTCCTACAAAGGCACTCCCAACTCTAGGGTTCTATGGTCCAGACACCCTGTGGCCACAGAGCCTTAGTATGGTTCTCTGAGATGTGGCTATTCTGCGACTGGTCTATGGCTTTCTGGCCTAGCTGGCCACTGGGCTGGGCAGGTGCCCACCTCTCCCAAATCCACCTTCCTTCCAGCCATGCTCACTGCCTGGAGACACCAGATCCAGGGCTCCAAGGCCAGGGGAGGAGGCTCACAGCCCGGAGCGGACACCTGGGGAGATGTGGTCTGGGGCAACACCACGCATGTGCAGAGAGGTAGGGGATTGCCCGCTGGCAGAGCCGCCCATGGATTTAGCCCAGCAAACCCAGACCTGCAGGCATCTACTGAACAGAACAGGGGAACCTACTAGAACAGTGGAGGAGAAAATTCTGACACTATACACCAGGCTGCCAGAGGCAGGTATGAGAGAGAGTCTTGACCAGTTAGCCACATCCACAGAACTGAGGACCCCAAGGAGAAGGGACAAGGCTGTTTTGGGACCTCCCCAACCATGTGGTCAGCCCTCCCCTGCACATCCGCCCAGCTCCCAGGCCTTACCTGTCTTGTTCCCCTGTGCATTTCTCACTATTCGAATGGCCACTGGTTTCAGGGGCGTCAGGAATTCCAGGACATTTTTCTGCAAGGACAAGTTTTGCCCCTTATCAGTCCCCCAAGAAACCATGCAACCCGATAAAGAGATAAGGAGCAAAATGTTGGACCAGAGAAGATAGCGAAGTGATCACGGTTTTTCTCCTTCCTTTAAGTCACACTCATCTCTCCTCCACCATAAAGTAAGAAAAACTGGGAAATAAAAACTGAAGAAGAAACGGATAATGTAATTATAAAATAGTAACATTAGCAGCAGCGTTTTAAGGCATTACATCTGGTCTTTTGTTCCTAGAGAGTTGTGTTTTTTTTGTTTTTTTTAAATACTTGGGGTTAAAGCTGGCTTTTCTTACTTCTCTATAAAGCTCTGATATTTGTCTACTTTAATCACAGTGAGAAACCTAAAGTTCCATTGTAGGGAGGCCCCCGACCTTCTTAACTACTCCCTTCTCTGGACATGTGTGAGATTTAAACACACTTTTAAAAATATGTGAACATTCAGGGTGTGAAATTCTAACAAATACTAAAAAGTACAAATCAGGAAACCAAACTGGTTCCTAATTCCAAGGCCAGTTCACTCTTCCTGGCTCCTTCTGCAAATCAAAAGCCGCAGAACCATTTCCCATCTGGGCACTGGGGGAAGCCCTTGAGGCCCCGCCCTGACGTGGCTTGTCCTACAAGGTGACAGAAGGACAGAAGGACACATCCGGGA